GCCTCTTCATATCCCCATTGGTATGGTTCTCCTTCTTGGAAAGGAGGTTGATCATAGAACCCGGTTACTTGGCTTCCACTCTCTTGATTATCCAAGAAGCTCCGGGATACCCCCATTCGGTTAGTTGTGGATACCCCCACATGTTGTAGAAGTCATTGGGATCCATGATTCAACCTACACTAACAAAAACACTAAAAAGAAAATCAAACACCCACAAACCACCCTTTGGGAAGAAAAGTGGGTGAAAAACAAAGCACAAAAAGGAAAACGTATTATGTATAATACTAATATAAACAAGAAATAAAGAATAAACTAACAACCAAACTCTTTCAATTAGTTATTGTAAGTCCCCGGCAACGGCGCCAAAAACTTGACCGCTGCTTCGATCGAGCTTTAAATTTATAAAGTCGAAGCGCACTCAGTAGTCAATCCTAACAATGCCAAGTATAACCGATCTAGGGATGTAGTAAAGCGGCTCGGTCGTATTCTAATGATCACAGTATCCTAGGATACTTATATTCGGTCGTTATCTAGTCAACCTGATGTTCAGCAGGTGGGCAGTTGACGAGTCCTAAAATAAAGATCAATAGATAAAAAGAGGTATTCAGGTATTTCCTCGCCCTAGTCTAGGTTTATCATGCAAATGTCGAACTATGTTGGGTTTACAGAATGTGGTGAATGAGCTCTTTTTTCGTGGTCTATCGTGGTTTCCACACGCCTTTGAGTACGCCTCCCCTAAACCCATGTCAGTTATCTCGATCTAAGCTATCGTATCTGGTGATTTAAGAGAATAACTCATTTCAATGGGTACTACCCACCGTTCACACTGAGGTTTCATCTCCTTTCCAGATGAGCGACTGATGACGATGTGTTTGGTGGAGAGTGTCACCCCTTGGTTCTCCGATTTCGCGAACTATCTTGTTGGCCCGCAGCTGCCCAAGGCGATGACGGCTCACGCGAAGAGGAAGTTTTTCTCCGAGTTGAAGCACTACTTTTGGGATGATCTGTATCTCTTTAGGATTGGAGCCAACGGGGTTATTAGTCGCTCTGTCATGGACATGAGATGGAGGGAATTCTATCTCATCATGAGGGACCTACTAGCGGGCACCATGGCGATAACCGCACGGCGAGCAAGGCACTGCAGTCGGCCTTCTATTGGCCCTTTGCTCTTCAAGTAACGCATTCTTAGGGCAGTGGTACGATCGCCTCGTCCACCACAAGATCCTATTCATTCATCTAACCCTAATCTGCTAGATGGCGCATACCTATCTAACCCTAAAACTCCATACTCAGCGTAGAAGCTCAAGAAGGCTGGTATAGAAGATTATGGCGACTTGCCCAAGAATAATTAAATCTAGATAAACATTAAAATAAACTAGATAAACACATTCAAACAAAACTCTAACATTATCATTTTTTTCATCTACATAATAGCCCTAAAACTAGGGTTTGGGGATTTAAACTCCTCGTACCTTGGGAGATCACCCCATGTGGGGGAGAAGAAAAGACATACAAAAGGAAAAGAATCATGAAGAAAGGGTCTTCAAGTGATGGAAATCCTACTCCAAAGTTCTCTCTCTCTCTCTCTCTCTCTCTCTCTCTCTCTCTCTCTCTCTCTCTCTCTCTCTCTCTCTCTCTCTCGCTCCCCCCCTCCCTTTCTTCTCCTCCTCTTCTCCTTCCTTCAACTTCTTTCTCTAATTTGTCTCTAGAATTAGAAATCTGTCAAAAGCCATCTTCTCAACGGTGAGACCCCCCTATTTATAGAATTCTGAGATTTGGTGTAAGTTTGCGGGCAAGGGCAATAGTTCGCAGTCGTGAACTTTTAAGGGAGGCCACGATCTCGGGGTAAGCATCTTTCTCCACCTCCGAGGAGGATCGCGACCATGTCAGGATCGAGGCTTGACATCTCATTCGTGATCCTTGCTGTCGCCGCCACAATCTTTCTCGCGGACTCGCAGGACGGTGACCGTGATTCGACTGGGGAAACTCTCTGATTCTCCAGCTGCGTTTCCTCCTTAAGTTCGCGGTCAAAGTGATCTGGTTTGCGGTCGGGATAATTTGAGCTTCTCCCGCGATTTCTGAAGAAATTTCGTGGCTTCGCTTCCCGATCAGGAACTTGTGCCCTTCAGTTGCGTTCTTTGTAATTTATGGCTTCCTCCCTTGCTTCTATACATTCTTGCCCCTTTTTTCTACAATTGTGCCCTTCTTTTGTACCTAATTCGCATGTATTGTCTAAAACACCCTAAAATCACATCATAATCAAATAGGGATGCAATCGACACTATTCAAGCAATTTTGCACATGAATTAGCACCAAACATTCCTAAATATGAAGGGTAAATAACACCAATTTGGGTGTTATTATATATATAAGCAAGAAAAATAGAGGTTAAACTAAAAACTCGGTGATTTTTTACTAGTTACCGAGGTTCCTGGCAATGGTGCCAAAAAGCTTGATCGTCCCCGTGCAGGTCACTATCAATTATTTGCACGGTCTAAAAAAGCTTGAAATGGCGTTGCTATATAGTGATGACCAAGGTCGTATTCCACGGGTTTCGATACCCTAGCTTACTTCCTGCTCCAATGTTATATAACCGATCAATTTTTGGGTTTGTTTTGGAGGTTTTAATTGAAACTACTTGTAGAGGAAAACAGGGATACAAAGCAGTGACTTCAGCGTAACTCACTCACCCTATCATAGGTCCGACATGCAAATGACTAACTATGTTGAGTTTATCATATATGGTGCGTGAGTGTTTGTTTCCTTGGCGAAACTCGCGTGTTCAGTGCGTACTGTTTTCAAGTAAACACAAAACACAAAGTCAATCACAACCGTCAAATATCCGCCGCCGAATGTCGGCGCCGTTGATTTGATCGATCGAACAGAAACCAAGACAACCGTCAAATATCCACCGCCGACGTCGGCGATGTTGATTTGATCGATGCACCTTTGACTTCTAATCAAACAACCGTTATTCGGTTCACCACCTCTCCAAACTACGTTCGAACGAGGGTGTTCGGCGAATAACCAGAAAATCGAACCAGGAGTGTTCTAAGTTACGTCACCTCTACTCCTATGGAGGTTCCTCTGGAGAGCTCCGCTACTACGACTACGATCTACGACTACTACGACTCTGCAAAGGATTTCTCTGACAGAGCGGTTCTACGAAACTAGAGAGAAAAAGGTAAGTCTGCGACGGTGCAGTTTGTGATTTGATTTTGCCGTCCCCTACTTCTCTCTCTTCCCAATCTTTATACTTTGCTCTTCTCCCCCACTCGTAGTAACTGCCTTCACGCCTTTGTCTCCCACGTCTTCATTCCTGTCAACCGTGCAGGTAACTTTCTCCTTGTTGAGTAACTCCCACGAGTGTGAAACCGCTTGGACACGCGGAAACATGACCAAAACGACACTGAGCCAAAATCCACAATTGCTGAACTCTCGCCACTGCGATGTTGTATTCTGTTAAACAACATCGTTTCAATACCGCGACGGTGTTAATATCTCCCACGATGTCGTTTTCGACTAAACGACACCGTCTAAAATAATCCTTAAAATATTAATTGATTAAATCGGCCATCATTGTTGACATGTCGTCAAACTTTCACTTCGCGGCGCCGTTCTTAATTAAACAACATCGTTTTCTAGTTCTACGATGCTGTTGAACTTGGCGATGCCGTTTTAAATTTAACACTGTCGTTTTAATTATTGCGGCATCGTTTTTAAATCTGCGGTGTCATTTCTTTCCTCTTGCGGCATCGTTTTCAACTAAACGACACCGTCCTAAATAGTCATTAAAAATATGAATTAATTAATCCGACCATCACTAGTCCAACTCGTGTGTTGACCAACGACATCATTAGCGCCAAAACGGCTCTGTTTGTTTTTCCTTTTGCGACATTGTTTTTTATTTTAAACACTGTCGTTTGCTAGTACAGCGGTACCGTTGGGCTTACTCGTGGTACCGTTTTTAATTAAATGACACTGCTAATATAGCCAAAAAATATCAATCCATGGAACCGCCTCCAGTCTGCACTCGCATTGGGCTGGGCGAATTTTGGTCAATTACCCGATATGGTTTTTAATTAATCGGTACCGCTTATCAAGGCTCTCGCGACATCGTTTTTAAATCCGCGGTACCGTTTTAACTCTCCGCGATAGCGCTTGTCCCCATGCGGTACCGCTTCTCCCCTTCCAACAAGGAATAAAAATAATAATGAATTAGAAAAACTCCTTCTCCAATACCCACACTAAACGCGCGGCCCACCTCTTATTTTCCGGTAAACAGTGTCGTTTCCAGTGCCGCGGTACTGCTGAGCTTCCTTGCGGTACCGTTTTTTGTTTTGCGGTATCGTTTTACCCATCTGCGATGCCGCTTGTATCTACGCGGTGTCGTTTCTCTCTCCTTCTCCGATAAGTAATAAAAAACACACTCATTTTCCAACAACAACACCAATCTTGCGGCTCATGTGTCACGACAATTGTTTTCTAGTAAATAATGTCGTTTCAAGTGCCGCGGTACCGCTGAGTTTCCTTGCAGTGTCGTTTTCTAGCTGAGCGAAACCGTTGGATCTCGCTGCGGCGTCGCTTGTCTCCAAACGATACCGTTTTTCTGTTTCGCGGTATCGTTTTAATTCTCCGCGATGCGGCTCAACTCCAAACGACACCGCCTTTTTACCCGCGGTATCGAATTAAATGCCCAGGCAAATTAATGCAGCATTTAATTCATGCCAAATAAATTTTAGGTGTCAATAGTGTTCCAATCTTGTGGACCTTCATCGTTATCTCACGCCTCCGAGTACGTACTCAAAGATTCATTGTCACCTCAGTCAAGACTCACGTATCTGGAGCATTACAAATTTAGCTCATTTCAATCAGTTCTACCAAGTAGTTGGGGGAGTTTCATGATCTGATTAGTACCGCTGGGAAAGTTCTCGATTTTTCTCAGGGAATTGCCAAGAAATTAAATCAAGGAATCAAATCTGAATTTTAGACTCGGTACCCCACACCCTAAATTTTTTTTCAGGGCAGTAAGTAACTAAGTATGCGACAGTATTACATTAATAGCTGCCAGCCAGTCACCAGGACCATCTCTTATCTACTTCCCCCTCTTCTTTACCTTTTTTTCCCCCCATCTCCCCAGAATAAAAAATAATACAAATGAATACACAGAGAACAGGTGAACATATATATTAAAAAATCAACAGCCCCACCAAAAAAAAGAGAGGAGGAAATTTACGCAGAAGAAACCTCATTATCATTCATACAATCACCGCCTGACACCTAACCAGCTGTCGTCAGGTCAACCACCGCCTCCTCCACCAGCTCTTCCAGCAACTTCCCTTGTATTTCCTTCCCTACACTCTCCACCTCCGCCGCCAGCCCATCCATCCACCCTTTTCCCGCCACCTCCTTCCTCATCACGCTCTCCACCACAATGGCCCCGCCGTCGCCTTCCTTCTCCCTCCTCACCCACTCCCTCAACCGGCCCAACACATGCTCCACCGCCTCCATGGCCGGTGGTGGCTCAACCTTCGCAGTAGTGGGCCCACCACGGCATCCCCGCCATGCCACCTTGCTACTACTGTCTGGCCCATTACTAGTTGTGATAATAATAACGTCACTGAGTGCCAAATTGAGACAGTCAAACAAAAGCTTCCTGCTCGATCTTATCTGTCTCCTCGTTGCTTCATGCACCACAGCAACTTCCTTATCCGTCTGGCTGGCAAGCTTGTCTCTCAGCGATGGGTCTAACGGGTTCTGCTGCGAATGCCGCCTTGGGAAATTTGAGTCCTCCATTTCCATCTGCGAATGCCCACCCAAGCCAGCTACTGACAGTAGCGTGTCCATGAAGGAAAGCAAGTCCCTTTCTTCTTCCTCCGCGCTTAAGCGTTTCAGTGAGTAGGATGATAAAGATGATGATGACGATGTTGATGCAATAGTGTCTGTACACGAGGAATCGTCCCAAGAAAGCGTCCGAGCGATCGGTGGTGACTTGTCGATTAAGTTAGACTTGGATAGTAGTTCTGGTCCTGTCACATTCCCAAATCGTGCAACAGGTTTCAGCAGGAAGGACGGACAAGAGGAAGGAAAAAACGTCCGGTACTATGTTAGATTTAAGAGAGTTTACCCCGTCGGTCTAGCTTTATGCTAGCACAAAGCTCCCCAATATTGAGCTCATCCTCGTCAAATGGTGCTTCCAATACTGAGATTGGGCTGGGCTGGTCTTGGTTCTCCCTCATACTCCCTGCGATTTCTGGCTTAGCAACTGTCAGAACTCCCTGCCATTCCACACGGTTAAACGTTACATCAAGATTCATTAATAGCCCCTACTAAAGAGTGCTGAATTTCAAAAAATTTAGCATTGGCGACAATAAGATTCATCCTAGGCAATAGCCTTTCTAACTTAGTGAAGGATGATATCAAAGCTGGCTTGAGAAGCGGATTAACCAATGATGAATTCGATTGACTACTAAAGGTATGACAAGACTTCTTAGGATTTTACAGAACATCATTTTGGGGTAACATGACCACCACACAGAACTGCACAACGAATTGCGAAGGAACCCACAATAGGCAGATTGATATTACCTCATGAAAAGCAACGCCTTGTTTCAAACTCTCACATGATCCATCCAAATTGGGAGAGCAACACTCTTCCGTGCCATTTTTGTCAATGCATGAAGATCGATAGCTGCCAGTTTCTCCAGGACGAGGCAATGGCACATCTGCGGTGACAGATTGAGATGCGCTGTTGCTATCTTTTGGTTTCTTGTTCTTCGAGAAAAATAAGCTGGAAACTTTTCCTTTTAAAGATGATTTCATTCTCTTTGTCTTGGTCAACTCCTTGGGGACTTCAGCTTTGACAGCCTCGGAATTAGAAATTTCAACATTCAGTCGGACACCATATATTGAAGACGAGACAGGAAGAGATTTAGACCTCAGAAGAATTCCAGGAGACTGGTCGCCATCGTCCTCCCTAGTTTGGTTACAAGCTAAAGAGGAAGTTGATGCCTCAAGCTCTTGTTCATTGTTTTCAGGCTCTTCCTTACACACCACTGGCTTCTTTGGATCAGACAGAGCAAGCATCTCACCCAAAGTGCTTGAACTTCTTCGTACGTTGTCCTGCTGCTGCAAACTCATATTTGAGGTCATCATGGCCCATCTTTCAGAAAGCCGCTTCTTTGCTTCTCTGCAAACAGATGACTCTGGAGAGCAGGATGCACGACTGAAAGATGAGGAAGAGTATGGGCTGCCAAACCTATTAACATAATCCCATGAATGTCTTGAAGTAGGAGATGCTACTTCTGAATCACTAAGGTGTTCAGTTGGGTCCTCAATTTCTGATTTGTTGAATGAACTGTCATCGCCAGTGTAGCCATTTGAGAATACATCAGATGACAAGAGTGTTTCATCCTGCCGATGACCCATCAGATTTCCGCACATCTGCATTGTGATCTCACTTGCAACATCTCTGGATTCTTGTGACACGTGATCTTCAGCTTCACCATTAAGCTCTTCTCCCATTAGTGTTGGCGATGGCGGTGAAATCACGGCTTTAATATCATAAGTCCTAGATGGGCTAGGCTTTAGAACTACAATCCTGGTTGGTTGAGTACAAGAATACTCATCATTTGAAAATGTAGGAGAGCATCCAGAGTTATTGCTGTCCCATGCAGCAGTGGCCTGATTCATCTGGGCAGGTTCTGTGGTCTTCTTATTACCCTTCTTTTCTAACCCTGCAATTTTATCACAATCAGCCACCTTAGAAGACGGTCTAAGAACAGTTATGCGCTTTGTCTCAGGAGGTGGACGAACAGCCAGCATATCATAGATATGTTGAGAGAACAATGAATTTGGTTCCTGGAAAAACTTGAGCAATAAATCTCTGCTGGAGCTTAAGATGTCCAATGCTTCTTGAAATTCTTTGGACCTACGGCCCTTTTCATCAGTAGCCAGCAATTTGAGTTCCATGAATTTCTGTCGAATGAGAGCCATCTTTCTGTCATTCAAATCTCCATCTGGCCTTCTCTTCTGGGGTGAGCCACCTCTGAGCTTTTTGGTCAGAGACTGCTGCCACAGTGCATATGTCGTATCTTTGCTGTCATTCTGTTCAGGAAAACGGTGGACCGCACAATGCATTTCCTTGTCCGTAAAATTCTGATCTGATGCCTGACATTCCAGTAGAATTCCCGAGTGGCTCAGTGACCGACTTGAGAAACCCTTTGTGTGATTTCTTTGTGCGCCCGAGCCAGGCTGCTGATGTGGAAGGGCGTCGAGTCCCATCAACTTAGCAACAAGATTTGGTGGCTTTTGTTTGCCTTCTACTTCTCTAGACAACTCTTGAGCTATAAGGGTTTTCATTGGTGTTCCACTTGCCTTTTTATTTGAGGAGCATCTCTCAAACTCCGACACAATCTGCATGTTCAGTACAAAGAGCAGGGCAGATCAAGACAAGAAACGAGGTATATAATATCAAAGAGGTGTTTAAGTGTGCAGATTAGAGACAATGCCTGCGAAACAAATTGCACACTGATCTGTAGCCAGAATCTCCTATAAAGAAAGGAAGCTTTCTTCTTTGTTTACCATTTTGTCCTCGATCTGATCACCAAATGGTGCACCCATCATCCTCACTACGTCGGATTGACTCCTTGCCAGTGGAGAACCTGCCAAACCATTACCTCCGTGTCAGAACATCTGGCTTCACACGATAAATCTACACCACATCGCTACAGTTACTGGTACCAGCATTATGACCACGATCCCAATCAACAAAATGGGGGGAGAGGTAGCCAAGATACGAAAACATTGATGACGGAAGAAATTTCATTCTTTGCAATAACTCATAAACCACTGGATAAAGTAACAAGAAAATTCGTTGTCTATGGGAATTTCACAGATCATAGAATTTCACAGATGAGGTGAGGCATAAGTAAGCACTCACCATTGTGCGGTTTATTGATCAGCAGCCTGTTTCCATTCACACTATTCGCTATATCAAAAAGATTCACCATTCTGCCCAAGCATCCAGGGAAATGCTTCTCTAAGGATTGTGACTTGGTATTCTGTACCCGATTCATCTCAGCACCTGTTTTGGTACAGGTCGAGACAATTAATTACTCCAAGCTTTCTCAAGTAACCCACTAAAGAGGACCAGCACCAGAGACGAAGGTAAGGTAAACAGAGAAGAAATGCAAATACACAAAAGGAAAAAGCCGCCAAACTGCACATAGGGTTGAAATCAATTGAGCAACCGATGTCCGATGTTAGCCATTTTGAATTGATTTTTTAAGTAAAACCCACAAATTTGAGAGGTGAAAGTTACCGATTCCGAATGAAATCTAGCTGAATCAGCGGAGAGAAAGGTCGGGAGCGAGACAGAAAGAAAGAAAAGGGGAAGCTTGAAAAGAAAACAGCATAATCAAAATCAGAACAAAGACCTTGGTCCCTGGATAAAGAAAGGAATAGAGAAAGGGAGAATTAATGAAGACGATACTTACTGCATAACCCAGTAATCGGCGATATTCTTCGATAACATTTCACATCATCTGTTCAGTGATGGCCCTGATTGAAAACCAGACCCCAAATCAAATTAGCTCAAGAAGTGGCAAAAGCAGACAAAAACAGTGAAAGGAGCATCTTGAGCCGTAACGAAGAGAGAGACGGGCAACTAACGCAACTAGGCATCAAAAGGCATACAAGGTTAGAGGTTGGAGATAAGTAGAAACGGCAGCAGGAAAAAGTCTGCCGCATTGCACCCCAAAATCCACTGAGTGAAAATTAGATTCCGAGTGAAAGAGGATACATGTACCAGTGATTCCGAAAGAGGCGAAAAAACAAGCAAAAAGTGGGGCAAAAGACAATGGGGGAAGAGATCGGAAGAGAAAGCAGAGGCCAAAAGCAGAGAGCTCAGATGAGAGGACAAGAAAAAGGGAGGAGGAGGAGGAAGAAGAAGCCAACTGTCTAGTCCAGAAGATTGAACAGAACGATTCAGAGAATAAGAAAAAGAGCAACTGACATGAAAGTGAAAGAAGCCGAAAAAACAGAACAGAGAGATTGTGGGCAAACGAGACGAGACAAAGGCGGAGGCGCCGGAGAAGGGAAGCGAGGAAGAACAAGCAGTACCTGGCCGGCAGGACCTGACATTCCGGCAAATTCTTCGCCGGGGATAGGATCCCGGTTGAGAGAGAGAGAGAGGGAGAGGGAAAGAGATGGGGGTATTTGGTAGTCAGTTGACGTTCACCGACAGAGTGTCGGACTTGAAAGGGGGCATCGGATTTTCGGGTTGATTAATGGAACAATTGGTTGGTTTGGTTTTGGTGATTGTTTGTTTTGGATAGTTACAAATTGTAACTTATAATCATGGATTACGAAACCGTACCGGACATCAAACCGGAATCGTCTTTGACATGGTAAATTGTGGTACAATCATGGTTCAACCGTTTCCTACCGGTAAATACCGTTTTTGTAATAAAAAAATTATTATTTTTTTGTTAAAAAACCATACCGGCAAAATTAAGGTACCATACCGGGAAAATACCGGAATAAAACCGGATTATACCGCCTAAGAAACTGTAAAAGAGTAAATAAGCTTAGGTAACATTCAACAAAGTGCGAAATTTCAATACCTAATAAACCTCATAATCATCCAAATACATTTTTAGAAACTAGTACAAAACCACAAACTTAATGTTCACAAACCACAAGTTTAAACTTTAATGTTCAAAAACTACAGATCTTCATTGCTCTCCCTAATCAAATTGACTATTTCATGATATTTCTGGGTGAATTATCTGGGAAAATGTTGGATTTCAGGTGGATTTGAAGCTTAAAGTATGCAGGGGTGACTCCGTAAAGAGAGTTCTTGTGAGGGAGGCGAAAGTAAATAGTGCATCTAAAATCGTTGTTGGGACTTCTAAGAGAAATCACACAATCCGTTCTACGATCACCATAGCCAAGTACTGCTCCAAGAAACTGTCGAGTACTTGCTCGGTGTTTGCTATTAGCAATGGCAAAGTAATGTATGAGAGAGCAGTAAATGGGGATCGCGGTCGGGAAAACAAACACTACCTCTAATCTCAGTGTGTAGAAGGTATCGCGGCCGGAAAAGACGAACGAATCTCCTCTTTGTCCGGCACGGCGCGGCTGGGAACGACCAACGAAGCTCCTCTTTCTCCTCCAGCGCGGCGCGACTGTGAACGGCGATGTCTTTGGTTGCTGGGGATGACGAGTCGCCGGTGGTGTTTGATTTCTGGTCTGAAAAAGTGGAAATGAGTTCGAGAGGCAGAGCGGCGCGGGGAGACGAGAGTGTAGAGAGAAGAGCGCTCCTAGCAATGGCCAGCCGAAGGTAGGTTTCGTCTCTGCTAGTCTGCTTCTCTTCCTTTTTTTTTTTAACGGTGTCACAACGGCGCCGTTTGGTTTAAATGAAGGGACCCCCGGTTTTAATAAAACCGGCCGAAATTTTGGCCCATTGCGGTCCAACCGCAAATACCGCCCGGCAGGATTTTAGAGGGTACACAGGCACTATTGTGCCGTTTTACCTCCGGTTTTCGATTTTCCCGGTCCGACTGGTCGGTCCGGTATCCTGGTCCTTGCTTACAATACTAATGCATTGTTTTTTTTTTTTAATTTTCTACACAAACGTATTGTTTGCTTGATGTGATGTAAACTTGAGATTGTTGAGATAGTTTTGAGGAGATTGTTGAGTTCATTTTTTTGTTCCAAGTATATCCCTCTATATATATATATGACAAACACTAGTATGAACCATATATATATATATATAATGGTGGCGTCTTCGGTGCAGTAACTTTTTTTTGTTGCATTCCGTGCACTCGTTTCATAATTGTCACTTTAAACATGCGATTTATGTCAAAATGATGTCAATCATCACTTATGATGTGATGAACAATAACACACATGAATTTGCACAAAAACCATTGAAGATTTACTTTAATTTGAAAGATTTAAAGTTTAGAGATTTAGGGTTAGGGTTAGGTTTACAATTTGGGGTTTACATGTATATAAGAAAATTGGTGTATTTTAGTTTACATTGTTTGGTTTCTGTGATAATTATTGTAATGTTTAAATAAATTATATTACTTTATGGGTGAAATGTCATTTGTATTCTTCTGTTTTTATTATAAAAAAGCAACACACATAAAAAGGTAAGGACATAGTTGGAAGAAAAAAAAACACAACAATCTCAACCAAAACTTGAGATTTAACTATCACTCAATTTGAGTGATAGTTTGTGTCACATCAAGCAAACATTGCATGTATTATTTGTCCATAAAATTAAAAAAAAAACGATGCATTGTAACTATCCCAACCAAACTATCACCAAAACCAAACGACCCTAAGTATCACCAAAACCAAACAATCCCGATATTGCCATTTACTAGGGGTGGGAAATGGTGCGGTCCGGACCAGACGGTCTAGATTGAGAGATTGAAACCTGGAACACAAACTATGGACCAGATCATATATTATAGATGTTCAGACAAGACCACGCTTGTGCGGTGCGATCCACTACGTTTTGAACCACGCAGACCATGTTAAAAAAAATTCACTCTTATTCTCTTCCTCTTTGTGCTACCGCATCTCTCCCTCTCTCGGGTGATCCGAAGGTTCTCGTATTCAATCACATTCGTGATTACGTCGAGGTCGTTTTGAACCACTAAGATGGTCGTTTATCTCATCAAGGAGAATGAATGATTTCTGGTGTTTATGTTTTATCAACTACATAGTCTAGACATTGTTGGTGAATATTATCTATGAATTTTTCTGGTTTTTGTGTGGTTCTTTGATAAGGAGATAACGGATAAGCAATCATGTGGGAAAACTATTAGCACATAACTAGATGAATAATCAACTAAATTTGTTCTTCAAATACATAAATGGAGGTTTAATTTTGGTGTTATTTTGATCTAAGTAAGTAGATAGTGTGTCACGGTCTGTTACGGTTTACTACGATAGACCGCAATCCAGACCACTTCAGACCACACCCTAAAAGAAGAGAACACAAACCAGACCATACCATAATTCTGGTCTCACGATCCAGACCAAATCATACAATACGGTCTAGACTGCGGTTCCCCATACAGTTTGGTCTAGATTCCCAGCCCTACCATTTACCACAAACTTTATACAAATCCTAACACTTTTTTTGTTAGTGATTTGAGTCATTCTATACATATTTTTACTATTTTAGTTTTGTCGTTTGAATTGTATAGTATAGTTTTTAGAGTCATTTTACGCTAGGTTTTGGAATGTTGTAATATGCTTTAGGCTATAGTAGGTGAAATGAGCAAAAAGATCGAAAGTCGGACGAAAGGGATTGAAAATGGGACAAAGTTGCATGGATAACGGTTTAAAGGAGATTATCATCGGTAGGAGACCGTGAAGTATGCATCAAAATTGTGAAGACACAAAGTCCAAGGGCTTTCGGAAGTCTCGCCAGTAGTGCAAGGATCATTGGCTCAAGGCGTGAAGTGTGTAATTGAAACGATGTGTTTTGCGCTAAGACCATGGTTTCACTGAACACTTCATGGGTGTGAAGGTTTACCGTGAAACGTGCACTATCAGGTATAAAAGGAGAAGGAGATCATATTTCAAGGGGGAGAAGAGTTTTAATGCGAATTTGGTTTCTACTTCCATATTCTGGAGAGAAAGCGACGAACCAAGTGCACCCTAGATCGGAGAAGTAGTATAGTAGTTACCAAAGTCGTATTCCAAGGGTCAAAATATCCTGGACTACTTAGGCTCGATCATTATCTAGTCAGCCCATTACATAGCACGTGGGCAGTTGACGATTACTGACCTAGAGATCAATGAAAGAGAAGAGGTACTTCGGGGTAACTCCCTCGCCCTAAACCTAGGTTTGTCATGCAAATGGCTAACTATGTTGGGTTTACAGGATAAGGTGGGAACTCGCTCAACTGAGCTTCAATGATTACTACGCCTCCTCCTAGTACGCTCCCAGAGACCCATTATCACCTCAGTCAAAGCTGACGTATTAAGGAAGGACCGTTATTTCCTCTCAATAGGTTCAACCTATCATGCACACTAAAGCGATGGATCGATGACTCTTGCATAATCTCTAGCTTTGTCTTGGGAAGTCATTCCTCTAGCAGGTGTTTGGTCACCTCATTCACTCAAAAGAACTTAAGACATCCAAATCTAGTCTAACCCTAAAACACCCAAAACTTAGTTCTAGGGTTGGGGTGTTTTAACCCCTAGTATCTTAGAGGAATACTCCATAAAGGAGGGATGAAGATACATGTAGAGAAATAGAGGAAGATTTGAATTGAGGAGAGCTATATTTCTCTTTGACTCCTCCTCCTCTTCTTCTTCTTCTTCTTCTTCTTCTTCTTCTTCTTCTTCTTCTTCGTCTTCTTCTTCCTTCAGCTTTTCTCTCTACTTTCTCACTCTAGAATAAAAAATCTGCCAACAGCTATCTTCTCAAGGGGAGGAGTCTCTATTTAAATAATTTTGAGGACACAAGCATGTTCACGGGCACTAGGTAGGAGATTGCGGCCATGATCTGAGGGACAGAGGTCGCAGTTTGGGCTTCACTTCAGCAACTTTGATCTTGTCTGGATTTGGAGATCCCCGCTTGAATTCATGGTAGCGATCCATGAGTCACGGTCGAAGGCTGCGATCTTCATGCTCTACCTCGCACCCCCTACATCTCGACCGTGATCTTCACTCCTTCAATTGCGTACTCCATTTTGGCCCCTTTTTCTACACTTATGACCTTTTTTTGCCTAAGAGATTCATATTTTTTTATACACCCTAAAATGCTAATATTTTCTCTGATGTGCGAATAAATGGTATATTTGACAATATATAGACCGTGAAGACCATGAAATGATGCAAAACAAACCTAAATATGGGTTTTAAATAACATCATATTGGGTGTTATCAACTCCCCCACACTTATGTGTTTGTTTGTCCCTAAGCAAACATATTATAACAAGTACAACTTGATAAACAATCAACTGCTATGATTTATAGTTATTCTTTGAACTGGTTAGAATAATCAGGGTCGAGTGAATGTTACTCCCATCTCACTTTGAAAACACAAACTCTCGGATGAGGACCATGTCGACTAAGTAGGTTTAGACATTCAAAGTGTGCACGGGGGACTCTCAAAAACAATTAAAGCTATGAACTTTTTGAAGGTGGTCTTTATTCTTTCTTTTCAAGGTAGGAGTTATAATTTTGAGTCTCATTTTAAAACTTTCGCCGCATTTGGCACCAAGCATTTGCAATTCTGCGAATAGGTATCTCTCCTTCATGATCAAGAACGAAAGGAACATTGCCTTCTCTATCAAGGCCCCATCTGAGGAACTTGATGTTCAGATTCATTGCCCGAGGACTAGTTCCCAGATTGAAATCCACGTCTCAATGATAAACGGTTTGCCACACATTTCGGGTGCAAACGAGAGCCGAGGTCTCGTGACTCACTAAAAGGTGCTTTGTACCTTGCCCTATGAGCCCATAAGGAGGAGAGGTGTTCGGGGCCTGGAAGGTAGTAAAAGATGATCGGGATGTGGTAAAGCTATACGAACCCTAAACACATCCTCAACTAGCACTCTGGACTAAGAGAAGAGCCCTTCCACGACTCAACTCAAACACTATGTCCGGTTGCCTCTCACATGACAACCTCAAATTTCAAAAGATTTTTTTCATAGTTGAGCACATTTTGCAAACGTTTTTTTAGTCCAAAATAGGTATAAAGTCCCACACACGTCTTTACCTAAGTAGCAAACATTATCAACTCACCAAAGAGGAAGATAGGAGTAAAACCTCTCATACACAAAGAGCTCTTGTAAATGCAAACTACTCCCTATAAAACACATCATATCAACTATCTAGCAATTCAAAGGACACTGAGGAGGTAGATGCTAGGGACAAGATGTTTGGAACCCTTAAATTTGAATTTTTTTGGGTATATCATCAAGGTTCCAAACATTAATTCTAAGCAATTCAACATCACAAAACTCAACTAATGGATAGCAAACACTCCAACACAATCATCGCTGTCTTATATTCATAATCATAGGGAGGCTACTACCAACTATGACACATTCATCAAGAACTTTTAACGTAAGAAATGTATCCCCCCACACTTAAGACACATTGTCCTCAACGTGGGAGTTATAGGTAGGGTTCAAGAGATGTTACCATAGGGGTTTGTGGGTTGAGAGGGATGCACAAGCGTAGGTCTTCATAGATCTAGAGATTTGACATTCAAGCATACACACAAGAGAGGAAGAAAGTGTTAAACAGAAAAATATATTAGCTAAACTACCACAAACATATATGTTATTACACATATTAATTTTTTAAAAAGAAAAAGAAAGAAAAGATAGATTGGCCCTCAATGCCATGTTGCCTTTGATGTATAGATGAAGCGTATGGTAGTTACCCTTTGGAGGCTCTTTTTTGTGAGTATGGCCCGTCAAAGTCTATAGAGGCCTCCACTGGTTGCTTTGTTGTGCTTTTTGTGGTTCCTCCTCGATTAGAGGTCATGGTTCTTCTTTCGAGACTTATGGTTCTTTTCTTCAAGGGCGGTTCTGATTTCTTCGTTGCTTAGTGCTAAGAGGAATGAAACTCTTACCTTCGGTTGGATTGTCCCCATAATAGAAAATCACAAAACATGTCCAAACAAACCATTAGCAACTTACTTGGTCAATTGAAATGACTAAATCCATCCTTAGGTCCAACTCTATACACCCCCACACTTATGTGTTACCATGTAGAAAATAGAGGTGCATAGGTAGAAATGCATGTTGTAATGACTAGGGTCGAGGTTAAAATGCATGAAAACAAGGGTATCATGTCTTTATAGAGGTTTCTATACCTCGACTAAAGGCTAGAATCAACTTATTAGAAAACAACCAAGGTTCGAACTAATGGTCCTAAAAGCATTTCGAAACACAAAATCAAAAGTGAGTCAAAGTTGCAAACTCAAGGATCATGCATCAAGGATTCAATCTCAAGTCATAAACACACTCCTAAGGGTCTATCTTAATCGAACAAGTTCAATTGAAAAAAACACTTGATAATCTCAAACAATCATTCATGCTATTATTGACATGGGTATGGGGTCATTCACTAGCTAAAACTATAAACACCACTTAAACAAAATCAAACATGCAAGTTTTATTTAGGAAAAGTAAGGAAACGAAAACTAGTTATTGAGGTACCTCCCAACGAGTGTGTCTTTAACGTCTTATTACCAGACGTGTGTTTGGTCCAACTATCCTCATTGAAGTTGAGCTTATAGTCAGTGAGGTGGTGTCTCAAACACCGAGCTTTGGATGCTTCAAATAAAGTGGATGACATGTGGACTTTGTAAAAGTTGTGTCTCCACCCACGAGACCTCTTCTTCTATCTTCTCTTTTCCCCATACCATATAATGTAACCTAGATTTACTACCATTGGATCCACCAAGAGGAATTGATGATAGTGTGGCCTTGGTTCGGCAAAGAGAAGCCATAAAAGGGTCCTTGTCTAAAAGTGCATCAAGGTCGGCTGGAAAACTTTGGTAGCACATGTAACTTGTCAAAGTTTCAACCATCCCAACCTCATCCATTGCTCGGAATCCGATTGCATCTTCAACCTCCTCTCCTTCTTTTGAAAAATCTTCCCCGTGTTGAGTACCAAGATCTTCTTCTTCACTATCTACTTCTCTACTCACAACCTCACCAATTGATTCAGGCTCAAATGTACACATTTTACCCCTCATTTCTTATTCATTTAGCTTAGTATTTCATCGTTCCTCAACATATTTAAAGCTAGGTTGTGCTTGTTTTGATACATTTCAGGTCCTAGCACGCGTGGAAGGGTCGAAATCGAATTTTGGGATAATTGGAGGTCAAAAAGTGCAAAAACCGAAGAAAAGTCCGAAGTCCGTAACGGTGAAGTGAAGGAGTCACAGGAAACAGTCGCAGTTCACGGGCGGGCAAAATTCGAGCAGTCCAGCGAGGTTCCAGAAGTTACTGACGACAAGGCAGTTCACAGTCTCTAAGACCGTGAAATAGGGCCACTGACCGTGAACCCAGGCGAGTGAAGCGGTGCGTTCTGGACGACATTGAGTTCACGGACGCGTTTAGGTGTTCACGGCCGTGAACTGGCCAACGCGTCCGTGAACTGATTGCTTTCAGGCAAATATGATGACAGTAGCGGGGAGAGAGAAGGGGGAGCTGGTTTTTGGAGAAGAATTGGTTTCTCTCTCTAGGGTTTGCCCAAAAACACCAAAAGGGAGTTCTAGTGAGAGATAGATAGAGAGAGAGAGAGAGAGAGTGCTAGTATGATCTTGGAGCATCATCGGAGGCTTAGGTGGAGATTCAAGCCTAGAAGAAGAAGAAGAAGATCTTGAACTCAAATTTGTAACCCTCTCTCTCTCTCTCTCTCTCTCTCTCTCTCTCTCTCTCTCTAGAAACTCACTCTTTTCTCTTGGGTGTTGTAGATCCCTAACTAATACTTTGTAATTACTTGTTTAAATTGAATGATTGTCATTGGGTATTGTTTAATTTAATGATTGAGGTATTATTCATGTTGATTGTGCATGCTCGTGCTTAGCAATCTAAGGGTTGTGCGTGTTTTGTGCTTAGCATCCTTAGGTTTGTGCATGTTGGTGCTTAGCAACCTAAGGATTGTGCATAATTGTGCTTAGCATCCTTAGATTTGTGCATGTTGGTGCTTAGCAATCTAATTAGTCGCTTTGACCTAGATTAGAGAGGAAAATCCCCATTTTAAGGGAGACTCAATCTAGTTGGTTTTTCTTTAGGTTTTTAAGCCACCTAACTAGGTTAATTTAGGGTAAACCTCAATGTTGAATTAATCAAATTGGTTAAGCGCGATTAAGTTGTCCAACCCTTGAGTTGAGTGAGGGAGTAAGTCAACCACCGATTGCCTAAACCGAGAGGGCCAAGTGACACGACCTATAATGTTTACCTTGGTTTAGCAATTGAGATTGTGGTCTCTGACCATATATGCATCCCTCTGCGGTTCGCGGTTATCTTGCCCAAAGCAATCATTCCAATCCAACGAGTCTTGCTAGCTAGTTAGGGGGAAACAACTCCTGTGTGAAGCTCCCTTAGTTAGATTTTTCCTTTATTTACTTTTCCTTCTTGTTTAGTTTGTAGTTCCATTAGCTATAAACCCAAAAGTTGCTTACAAGATAACAACCTAAGCGATTGAAGTAGGTGTACATGGATCGGCCCGGGTTGACAATTTAAATGCTTGCTCTATACTGCACCCGACTAGAGTTTAAAAACTTGGACTCTAGTCGGGATTAATTTGTGGTGTAGTTTCGTGCGAGTCAAGTTTATGGCGCCGTTGCCGGGGAACCTTACGTTCCGTTGTCCAGAAAAAGTCGCTTAGTGTTACTCTAGCATTTTAAATCTTGCCTTTTTGTTTGTGTTTTGTGTTTTGTTTACCCACTCTTCTCTTGGAAGGGTGGTTTGTGTTTGTTTGATTTTGTTTTTGTGTTTTTTGTTTGTCTAGGTTATGAATCATGGATCCCAATGGCTTCTACAATAGGTGGGGGGTATCCACAACCATTCGAATGGGGGTACCCCGGAGCTTCATGGACAAGAAGGGGGAAGCCAAGGATCCGGGTTCTATTACCAACCCCCCTTCCAAGAAGAACAACCATACCATTGGGGGTATGAAGAGGCTTCCCCGTATCAAGAAGGTTTCCATCCACAACCCGAGGAGAAATCCAAGTTGGAGTTGGCCATGGAAGCTTTCATGGGACAATCATCGAGACCATGTGCCACTCCACAACCGGAGCCAAAGAGCAAATTAGAGCTCATGGTGGAGCAATTCGCCCGGGGCACCGATGAAGGGTGCTCTAGCAAGGACCTCTCAATCGCCAACCCTATCGACTCAACCTTTCTTCAGGAGGCGGATGAGCTTCGTCGACGCAGAGAGGCTAGGAGGGCTTGTAAAGCAAGCATGTGCACAACTTGCTCACAATCGCCTCCCACCATTGGAAGAAAGAGAGGAAGTCGAAGAGGTGAGCCGTGATGATTTTGGAAGAACGAGCTCCGGCATGGATTTCTAACCCCTCCCTCCTCCCGGTTTGACACGGGAAGACAAAGTGGCACGAGTTTTTGAAAGCTATCGCCTCTCATTACTGGAGGAGAAAGAGGAGGTTGAAGGGGCTCTCATTGACAACCGTGTGGAGCAAGAAGAACTCACCCCGGAGAGCTCCCGTGGTGAGGATGAACAAGAAGGTTTCATTGATGACTCCCATCACTTTACCCTTCCCGAAAGCAACTTTGAAGACCAAGACACGAGTGAGGAGGAGCAAGAGAATCCTTTCTATGATCTTGCATGGCACCTTGCCCTCTAAACCGTGCTTGAAGATACGAAAGAGAAGGAGAAAGAAGAGGTTGAAGAGGAGGAAGAAAGCATTGAAGAGGGGGAAGATCTCGAGTGTTCTCGAGGGGAGGAAATTGAAGAAGAAGGAAGGGAGGTTGAAGATGAAGTAAAAGCAGCAAGTGGAGTCCAAGATGAGCACGAGGTCGGGGTTGATGAAGCATCCACAAGTTACGAGGGCTATGAAAGCTTTCCACCCGACCTCGACGTGCTTTTGGAGAAGGACCCATTTGCAGCTCTTTGCCAAGCCAAGGCCAAACCATCGGCGATCCCTCTTGGCGGATGCGATGGAAACCAACCGAGTTTCCACTACATGGTATGGGGCAAAGAGAAGAAAGAAGAAGAGGTCTCGTAGGTGGAGCCTCAAAGCCACTCAAGTTCACAAGCCCTCAATCATGGAATCGTCCAATGCTCGTGACTTGAGACATCACCTCACCGACGAGAACCTCAACTTCAAGGAGGTTCTTGGGTGGACCGAAACTTTAAGAGCAACCGTCTGGCTCACGACGTTAAAGAAGCGCTTGGTGGGAGGCCACCCAACCATCAACGGTTTGCATCTCTTTTCCTTTCAATAAGACGATCAATGAAGAGATTTTGGTGGTGTTTTACCGTCTCCTTGCCCTTCCGGATCTCACCCGCCCTCCTCTCCCGAGCACAAACGTTCACAACTTGACCGGTAACATCGTTCTATCCCCTTCTTTTACGCCATTGAAGGTAATGTCGAGCTTGACACGCTAAAACACAACACCAAACTCCGACCAAGTGTAATCGCTGTCCGGAAATTCAGTAAAGTGGCAAGTTCTAATTATCAACTTTGTTTTTGCTCCAAAAAGTCGATTCCCTCTCCTTTGGCTCGAATTTGGGTTAAAACCCAGAAATTCCCGACCACACGGCCGTGTGGCTTTCCCAGCTGCCCGTGTGAGTTGTGCAAAACGCGGCGTTTCGATTAGTGGACTTCAGCCATCCTACACGGCCACAACCACACGGTCGTGTGGATTTCCAGGCTGCCCGTGTGAGTTCCCTGGAATTTCCACACGGCCACATGGGTTCCCTTACACGGCTGTGTGGGTTTTACGCATGCCCGTGTGACTTCCTCAGCTTCTCGCCAAGCGTCCGATCTCCGTCCAATCGACCCTGAACTCATTCCTAAACCTTCATTCACGTACTAGGACCTGAAATATCACAAACAAGAACAACCTAGCGTGAAATCGGCCTAAAACATGAGAATCAACATCTCAAACGGCTCAAAAATAAGGGTAAAAACATGTACAATTAACGGTCTATCAAACTCCCCCACACTTAACCGTTTGCTTGTCCCCAAGCAAACCAAGTCAGACACAAGGTAAGCTAACATATTTCAATCATACCAACATTGGGGACAAATCATATAGGCACAGAACACGTGAATCGTACTAGCTTTCAAA